CCGTACTTTGCTGTAAAGCTGTAAAATTCGCCATCTCCGTCAGATAGATTTCAGCTTTTTAGGACTTTGCGCTTACACCACATTCAATTTCATGTCTCAGTCTTCTGACATAAAAAGATTTGTATTCAAGGAAATCTAAATTCAAGCCCTTTCTTTAATTTGCATCATTAGGACCTAGAAAGAACGAAGAAAGAATTCCAAAAACGAACCAGTATTCACTTTATTTGGGACGTTGTACGATCCCAATTTATTGGAGTCTCTTTTCAATTGTAAGCAAGGAAGAGAAAATTCATAAATGGAAAAGTTCTGCGCGCTTCTCTAAAAATTTGCAGTGATCATATTCAAACAATTAATTTTAAGAAAGTTTTGCAGAGGTCCCCCGAGGAAGTCATTCATTCTCACTGGTCTAACGACGCTCAGCAATCCAAAGCATACTCATCGTGTTGAGAAAAGTGTTATACATCCTGATTATGACGGGAAGGAAATGAACAATGACATCGCCCTCGTCAAGGTACAGTTGCGATTTGACCAAATATACGAAAATAATTTCATCAAACAGTGCAAATCTGTTAGACTTATGATAGAACGCGTTCGGAAATTTTTTTTTGTCGAATGCTAAAGGCGAAAAATACCAGAAGCTATTTAGAGCAAATACTCCTTATATAATGAAGGCGTTTCGAGCGTATGTCTAGCTAGAAACGATTCCGAACTACTTTCAACTGCGGAAGGAGTTGTTACAGGATTTGGACTACACGTAGGTAAGTGAGATTCTTCTCGTTCGTGCTCCTAAGATTATCGGAATTTTTGGATTTGTAAATTTCAAAATCACCTTATTGGTAGAGGCTGAAATTTGAAATTTTTTCATGTTGCTGTATGCAACAGGAAGAACACTTTGCAGAAGCTTCGCCGAGGCAAGAGTTTAATTTTGGTTCTATAACTTTTTTGACTTCTGACTATATTATGTTTTTTTCATAAAAATTTAATTTAGGGTCGTTTTCTATTGAACTAATCCAAAAATGTAATAGTTTCGAAATGTTTTGATTATTGCCTTGTTCGGCCTAAGAAGAAGGAATATGATATACTTTAGTGAACAATACAGCAAATTTCATTAAATTGCAGAAGCTCTTTGATTAACCTAG